CCCAGCCCCTTGCTGGCTGGTACTCTACCAGCCTGCAGAGAGCTCATCGTAAAACTGCAAGATCCACAGGTTTCTCCAGTAAAATGAGAAATCCCTGTTTTCCTCCAGTAAAGGGGGAAATCCACGGTTTTTCTCCATTTTTGCATGAGAAACAGAAAACCCATATCCCTGTTGATAAAAAAGGCATTTGTGTACCATATTTACTATAATATAAGATGACCCTTGGTATAAAATGACCCCCCGATAATTAGATTCTATATATGGAAATTGTATATAGTTGTTATAATCTTCCAGGTATAGAATCGAATTATTGCAGATCTGCCTTGGATATGATACCCTTCCATTGCTACACCAGGGAAAATAAATCTAGGGGGTCAGGTAGCCCTCTTGCCCTCTGCCCCCTACTCCTTATTGTCAGCCCCTGCTCTCCCTGAACACATGGAACAGAGAGGCAACATTTTCACATGGAAAAATTACTACAGGTACCCACAGATTTAGCACATCCAGAATTGAGGCCTTCTGCCTTTTTTGAAACTACTGGAAGGTTTAGCACAGGTACTCCATAAACACACTTTTAAGCAGCACCTTTGAATTTTTTATAAATAGTACAAGCTATACATGATTATAATGCAAAGCCAAAAGGCTCATGATTTATTATACATTTTGTCGGGCTGAGCCCCAGCAGAGTCAACTGTGTTTAAAGCCATGGTGAGCCCACAGCTCAGCACTGCTCACACTGCTCAGTATGTGTGTGTACTCCACATATCTCCCACAAAAGAACCATGTGCTAATTAGCCCCCATTCATGGCTGGAACTGGGTGTTCTTGTCATGAGACCGGGGATCTCCAGAAATGTTTATGATCCAGCTCCAGCTCAGGGGGGAGGGGGGGGAACAACAGAGCACACTAATTATTGCTGATAAGCTGAGAGATGCGTCAACAGAGGAATTCTGGGTGACCTGTTTGGGGCCCCATTTGGTGACATTTGCTAGACAACAGGAATCATTGGAAATGAAAAAGAAAGACGCAGCTCAACTGTGGGAGTGAAGAAGTTGAAATGTATTCAATGTAGTGGTTCATCATGACTTGAAAAAGTCAGCACTGAGGACTGCATGCATTTTATTCAGATGGGCTGCATTAACCTCACATGGGTCAAGCGTTTTATAGTCATGCTCAGTGTTGGCTGCATTTATTCAACTTTATAGTTGGTTTCTATTACTGCACAACACACACTGCTTTTCTGCAGCAGTTTAATGATATGCAATGTACTTAAAGTATTTCCCCAAGCTGGCTGAGAGAGAAAACCTCATCTAGTATTTCAGTAAATATAGTATGTAAGCCTTCACTTATATTGTAGGCTAACAGAAATGTCTTGAACACCTTTGCAAGAACAGATTTAGCTGGATTTTAAGTGGATTTTATTTTTATTATATCTGACCCCAAGCATACTCTCATTCTGCATTTTTAAGATTTCTGTTCTGCTTCATTATTCAGTACCCCTAATAAATCTCTGGTGTCTAACACACCATGTTTTTCACAGCTCAGGGACACATCTCACCATAGTAGCTACTTGTAAGGCTCTGAATTATTTGGGCCCTTGGCATTGAAGGATGTGATTTGTGGACCAACTGGTAGGGGCTACTCAAAGAGATTACTTCCAGAAGAAATCTCGCAGTCATCTGACTCCAAATGAAATTTCCAGTAAGAAAGAGGCAGAGGAAACCAGAGACATATTGAAGCTGCTCTTACATCCTAATGGTCCACAAAAGTTCATTTCTATAGTCTCTTCTGTTACTTATGTCTCACAAACATTTTAGGGCAATACAGATATAATGGACAATTATAACAAGAGATTGTTGCAGTGACTGATTTGTGGAAGCTTTGTGGAAGTGAATGAAGTCATGAAAGTTACTATCAGTCCAGGGAGGAATGAAAAAACATTTGGCCACCATCCTTCCCTTTAAAGAATAGCTTTTTGCCCACAGTGGGCAGAAATATGGAGGAGAGGAAGAGCTTAAGACACTTACTTCTGATATATTGTTGTTATCAATTGGTCCATTAAGGTCAGAACGTTGTTGCTTCCTTGGCTGTTCTAACCCATTGCACACCTGTAAGAAATCAAATAAACACTTTAAAAATCCTCTTTCCTCTTCCTCCTCCTAAATTCACAAATGGAATATGGAGCAGACTAGAACTCTCATGAGGATGAAATGAAATGTTGAGATAGCAAGAAATGCCTAAAAATGACATTACTTGCACTAAATAAATGAGGATAGCCAATCCACAGCATTAGCACCATCAATTTGAAAATAAAAGCACTTCAGGTAAGTTCTTCCTATGTTATTTCAACTAAGCCAGCAAAAAACTCCTTGAATGGAACTCAGGTGATACATAGATCTTAAACTGGTCATGCACGCACACGGACTATCACACAGTGGGTGCATCTACACAAGCGCTTCAAAGTGCAGTAGCCTATTTTACCGTCCATTAAAGAATCACGTAAAAAGCATGCAATTATGCTAATCCAAGTAAAGTAGGCTAATGCACAGTAAACATCACTTAAAAAAACATGCGCAGCCTAATATGCATTTATTTAGAACCTCACGCTGAAGGTACTAAATTTAATGTGCATTAGGAAAAGTGCATTACAGGCCATATCTACATGTGCATTATATATGAGGGAAAACCAAAGATCTCAGGTCAGCACAAGATTACAAATATAGTTTAATTTGCACTGCTACTACAGTAAGAAAGTAACACATTTCTGCATTTCATGGCACCTGAATCTGATTCTGAAGGGTCAAAGGCTTGAGTCTTAAAAGTGTAAAATGTCACCTACAAGCTAAGTGGCCTCAACAACTTTTCACCTCAGCAGAAACTGAGATTAGAAACTGTAGAAAATTTTCACTGACAGAGAAGGACTTGGAAGGCAAGTCATATGGGGAGAGGCAGAAAGAGCTAGGCACGTTTAGCTTGTGGAAGAGGCACTTAAGAGGGTGCATGATAGAAGTCTTCAGAGAAGAGGGCAAGCACCTTTTCTCTCTTGCTACAAAGAGTAGGATGCAGCCCAATGGCAGCAATATAGGTTTAGACTGGATATCAGGATAAACTTCAGTGTTAGAAAAGTGAGGCAGTGGGTCAAACTGCCTAGGGAAGTTGTGGATTCTCCATAATTGCAAGTGCTCAAAAAGAGGCTAGAGAGAGACTGGTTGGAGATGATCTAAGGGTCCACATGTTACTCTACGGCAAAGTAGCAATCACGCGGGCCTACATGTGATCATCAGCTATGCTGGCACAGCAGTACACTCCTCCTTTCCTCAGAGGCATCGGGAGTTGGTTCCAGCCAAGGCTGGGGGTTGTGACTGAAGCGTGCCAAAGCTCCTGTTAGGACTTAAACATGGAGGTTTCTGGCTAGAGGGTCTTACCCCTCTACTGAGGGTCAGAACAATTGACATTTTTGTGGGGCCAGGAAGAAATTTTACCCCATGGTCAGAAGACTAGTATGGACTGGAGTTTTTTGCCATCTTCTGTAATAGGAGACATGGCTCTCTTCCCAGGATCTCTTGAGTGTATATTAACAACCTTTACCGTGACAGGATAATAGCTGCCATGGTCCCTCTTTTTTACCTGTGGCAAATTAGGGTGTTATGTCTTGTGTTGTGTTAAGGTGACTGTGTAGTTTTGCTAAGAGGTTAGACAGTGGATT